TTTTTCACGGGCTAGAAGAGTTTCGAGATCCGCCCGGCCAGAAATCCCCGCTCGTCGCCGGGCACCCGGAACTTCCGCGTCGATAAATCCGCGATCAACGGGATGTGATGCGAACCGCGGGTGGCGGGGGGTTGGGAGGGTGTCGGTGCGACTGCACCGCTGAGGGTAATTCACGAGCGCTACAGCGTGTTACAGCGAATTTCGGAGCACTCGCCATTACCCGTTACGTTAGCAACGGCGAACGTTTGTTTCAGAATTTTGTTCTCGATGCGAGTACGAGCCGCGATTCTCTCTCTCTCTCTCTCTCTCTCTCTCTCAGCTTGAACGTCCTCGTGACTGGAACATTTCACTCGAATATTTCGACGGGCCGCCGGTACGTTCCTACGATATAATTTATCTCGCGATCGACATAACCGTCGGAAGAGTCGTTTGCGTTTATAGGCTTGGCATCGAGAATGAGTTTGCCATCGAAATTCTCGATGAGAAAAGAGAGCAGAGGAGAAAGGTGGGTGACGCGTTAGGGTCGCGTTTGAAACGACGTTGACCCTAACTATTGGAAATAAATTCGATCGAGCGAACGGAATACACCTGATTCTCCGATACGAGGTTTCCGCTGCGCGTTTAGAAGCGCGTTTACCGCTTTTTCAAACGCGTGTGCTTTTTCCCCTTTTCTCTTTCTCTTCTCTCTCTCTCTCTCTCTCTCTCTCTCTCTCTCTCTCTCTCTCTCTTTTTTCCTTTTATTTCGACAGTCGAAACCGGCACGCGAGCCGGCAGTATCGCGTCACGTCGCGCCGGATGAGGGAGAATGAGCCACGAAACACGAGCCTGGCGTCTCGATTCTCTTCGTAAATCAGGAAGGACCGGTATATTCTTACGACGGAGCGACGATATAGGATCCCAGGGGGTACGGACACAGGCGTCTTTCTTCCCCCCCTCTCTCTCTCTCTCTCTGGTTACCTCTTGGAAAACGAACCTCTTACTGCCGGGATTCACCCTCGAATTAAAAGAGCAGCCATCTCGGCTACCTTCCCTTCTCCCTTTCTCTCTCTCTTTCTCTTTTTTTCTCTCCCTCCCTCCCTCCCTACCTCCCTCCTCTTCTGCAAGCCTCCTCGCCGTCGTGTCACGCTCGGGTTAGAGAACGAAGGCGTGAGAAAGGGCCGACTTTCGTGAGTGAGGAAAATGGGCGAAAAAATGATAAAACGGACTTTGCGAGGGGTGGTCCTGTGCAGCAAGTTGAACGGTTCGGTCGGAATTAAACATCTTAGGTCGGTCCTAGACGATACGAACTTAGACCAATGTTGGGTCAACATTTACCACGAATGTCGGCGTCAATATCGATATATTTCGAATATTTTTTCGACGGCTCATCCGTGCTAAAATAACAACGTCGTAAAGAGAAATATTATCCCCTAACCGCCCGCGAACGACGCAGAGTGTGATAATTCAGACCATCTCGACGAGTCCCAACTCGACGAGATGCTCAAACCGGCGCTCTTAAAATATGCAAGGGAAAGGGAAGGAGAAAGGATAGAGGGGATGAAGAGAGGGAGGGCGACACGAACAGCCAGGGATCCGCGCGTCGAAACAACCCTACAGATAATTTAGATTCGTAGCGCGGAGCGAAACAACAGAAGAGTAAGGGGCGAGAGGAGGAGAGAGAGAGAGAGAGAGAGAGCAACGGTGGTGCGTATTGATCTAAACGGGAACCCGTGAAAGCAATTAAGATAAGGCACGGTAACAAAGGGTTGTCGGCTGCTACCCGCTTTTCGCGATGGAAAACAGCGCGGACTGGCTGACTCGGATGCGGAAGCGGAGCGAGGGTGGTAGATGGAACAGAGATAGAGCGCGAGGAGGAAAATGCGAGGTCGATCTGCCGGATGTGAAAAAAGCGATCGAAAAAGATTGGCGTTTGTTGGCCGGAGAGGAAGGGAAGAAGAGCCCAGGGAGAGAAAGAAAGAGAGATACGTAACATAATTGCTCGCGCTACGATTCGTCTCGTCGTCGCGATCGGAGGATATTCGTTACCGTTAGCGCATTGAATTACCTACGGTCTCCTTAGTCGCGGGACACGGGGATTAGTCGAGCAATTAGCCCGCTCTTCAACGGGGTGTCGTATTAATGTAGTTCATTCGTAAACGACCCTCGAAAACGACGAGAGCGTTATATACGTCGCTGTTCCCGTGGCGGCGGCGGCGGCGGCGGCGGCGGCGGTAGTTTATACACTGGGTGTCCCGTACAGAGTAGTGCGCGTTGCGTACGTGTCAATTGTGAGGAGAGAGAAAGAGAGCAAAGTGCAGAGAGAGGTAACGAGAGCGAGAGCGAGAGCGAACAGCTCGGGCAGACCGTCTGAGTCGTAAAATGTTAACTGCTAGTAAAACTGAGTTTACGCGCTTGTAAGGACCCCCGCAGGAGGTTGCTGCCGCCCCCGGTCTCTCTTCAGCGTGGCACGCAGGGCCGCCCCTTACACCCCCTAATAGCCAGATTATTGCTCGTAAGCCACCCCCGTTCGAACCTTCCCGCTCCCGTTTCACCGGTGCAAGCAGGAAAATAATTCCGAAAGAACGTTTAATTCTCGCACGCGCGCGCGCGCGCGCGCGCTTTCTTATACGTTCGCTAACCGGCCAACTGACCGGCTTGACGTTCCGTATCACTCCGTGGAGTACACCGTGAAGGAATTCACGTTATTCACGCGGAGTTTCATATCGCGATTTCTCCGCGTTAGCCCGGAGCCCAGCTCCCCCCGCGGTATTATTCCTGATCGCGAATCGATGCGGAGCAATTTTACTCTCCAGTGATTCAGAGGGAAAGTGCGTGCGAGTTGCTTTCAGCGAGGCGACTCAGAATTTCTGCTCGATCAGCAACGATTTAATTTGCAAATTTATCGAGAGCTTGTCGCTAAATTGTTGTTTTCAGCGGTGAGAGGAACGAATGTAAATCTTTATTTCCATCGACTGCAGCTCGGAGAACGAGCGCGCGCTCGTATCAGCGGTCGAAATTGCTCGGCCTTTTAACTTTCAATGGCGCGAGTTCTTCCGCATCGCCGTAAACCGACGTTTTATTCCGCCGTCTTCGGCGGGCGACGCCGTCGGAGGTTTTTCATTTTTAATTACCCACAGTGCAGCGCAGCGTGAAAAGTTCCCGGCTGCAGCAGGGAAGTTTTAATGGCCGCGTTGACTGTCGTTAACCCCTTCTTAAGTCGTCCGTGGAAGTGCCGTGGGACGTGCTACGATTTCGAAACTTATTCGACTTATTCATTCCGAGGCATTCCCCCCCTCCCCGTTCGTAGCGATCCGATCGTGCATTCCTTCGGCGTAATTTAATTTTCACGCGTCATCCCAATCCGGGAACGTCAAACGTGACGCAACAACTCGAGTCTCTATAAGGGATAAAATTCATTTTAATCTTCCGACTGACTATATACGTATACTAAATCCTGCTACTCTGGTCGCTAGCCGACACGTGAAAATCTCCAAGGATCTCGTAAAAAAATTTGACCGTTGGCATGATGACAACACGCATATTCGTCATGCGACAAATCTGTCAATGATCAAAAAGTGTCTTGTGACGCGAGACGTCGGAACTATCGTTGCTCAACTGCGCGTCCGCTCTAGCGAACCGACCTCCCTAGAGTCCCGTCAGAGACCAGGAACTGTAGATTACTCGTTCTCCAAACCGGCGTAATTGTTACACTTCGTATAAATGCATTAGCTCCGCGCATTCGTTTCACGCCTCCGCGGATCCTCGAGAAGTCTCCTCGTTCGTCTCCCCCTTTCCCCCGGAGCGTCCCCGGGGACTTTTTTCGCGAGACTCCGTGGCGAAAAGTAGCAAAGGAGGAAAGTTTCGTGCGAATTCGAGCGGATGCGAGCTCATTCATAAAGACATCGAGACCACCACACCAGCGGGTGTGTAGGCGCGACACGTTGCCCAAATGATCGTGAAAGTTCTCGCAGAGTGTAAAATAATGCGATAATAATATATACAATATTTTTAGCAATAACAACAAGAATATTTGTCAGACAGATCACATTGGCGGACACACTGCGTGAACGTTGATATACACCACGAGGGTTCTTCCATTCCCTGCAAATTTGACAATTTAAAGTCGCCCTCGCAATTTTTTCTTTTTTCTTTTTTTTTTTTTTTTTTTTTTCTTTTCTTGAGAGACCGTAAACTGTGTACGACACGAGCTGTGCGCTCTTTGCATCCTAACCGCAATCTCTCGTGCAGAGAGATTTTACGTCGAATCGACGTAATCTCGTTGCATAACCGACAGAGACACGTCCTGTGTGATTCGCATGCAAAAGCAGCCGTCTCCCTGACGAAGAGATATTCCTCGTGACGTTTCGTCGAAGAGGCTGAGAGAGAGAGAGGGAGAGAGAGAGAGAGAGAGCTCTATTCCCTCTCGCTTTCTCTCGCTTTCTCTTCTGTATGCATGCCGGCGTTTACTCGGAGGGGGTGCTAACTGTCGAAGACGGGGCTGCATCTTCTCGGCAGGGCGCGTCCCGAGCGAGGGGAAAGCGGAGGGCGACACGGGTAGGGGGGGGTAGGGGGGTATAGAAAGTCCCTCTGCGGTTTTATGGGTCGTCCAGCTCCATCATGCGCCGTAAAAGTACAATAAAACCGCTGTTACACCGCGGAAAACTACCCGTTCTAAACCACTGCGTGCAACGGGCCCTTAAGACGCGGAGTGGAAGGACCCGGAGACGCTTGATGGGGCGAGCGGCGGCCGAAGCAAAATTGATTCTTTTATGATCGGCGAATGCGGCGAGACCGACTTCGAATTTAGCGCGAGCGCCCTTCTGCGCGTCTTCGCGCGCGCGCGCGCGCGGTGTCCCGATATCATATCTTCCTTCAGGATCCTTGGATCCCTACCGTGCCGAAACGAGCGTTTTCGAGAAAAGAAACGAAAGGGGGTGTACACGGGACAAGGGCGTGTTCCTTTCCTCCCCCCCCCCTTGGTAGGCTCGATTCTAACGCACAGTCTTCTTGTCTGATTTCAGTCCTCTCGCTGAGAAACACGCAAGAAGAAGAACCTCCGGATCCACAGCTAATGCGACTGGACAACATGTTGATCGCGGAGGGTGTTGCCGGACCAGAAAAGGGCGGCGGTGCTGGAGCAGCCGCATCGGCATCCGCGGCGGCGGCTGCCGGGCCGCCCGGACAGCCGGACAACGCCATCGAGCACTCTGATTACAGAGCCAAACTTGCTCAAATCAGGCAGATTTATCACCAAGAGCTTGAGAAATACGAACAGGTATGTCGAAATTCACGCGCGAATCATCAAGCGCGCACGACTAAAGGCAAAATCAGCCTGCTGGCCTTCGCCTGGCGTGGAATCTGACGTATACAATATATGATAATATGAAGAATACAGCAGACACATCGGCCGTCGTTCACGCACGTGAACGTGTAATCTCGTGTGATCTTGATTACAGCTCATAAATATGCGACATCGGACGCGCGCGAACCGCTCTCGGCCAATCCATTAAGTCAAACGGGTTAAGCTTATAACACCCGTATTGATTTTCGCGAGCACACGCGCGCGCGCCGCAGTCAAACATTTTTACGTTTGCGCGCGCGATGTCGCAAAATCCCCTTCCCACCCGCAGCCTTCCCTGTCGCGAAAATTATTCGTTTCGAAGAGGCGGGGGGAGGGGGGGGAGCGAGCGAGAACGAGAGCAGCGTTCGCTTTATGCAAATAAAGCCCGCTTATGAATATTATTCTGCGAGCGTGGAGCCGCGCGATTATCGGCGGCGTATCGAGTATTGAATTCGGGTCGCGGGAATTACATCGGTCGTTTTATCATCGGCCGACTTTGTGGACGCGGAATGAAAAAAAGGAGTGGGGGAGAGAGAGAGAGAGAGAGAGAGGGGGGATAGAGAAGGAAAAAGAGAACAGTGAAATGAACTGGCCGCGTAAACGAGTGCCGTTACTTACCTCTCTCTCGCCCGGGGAAAACTCTCGGCGAAATGAAAAATTTAACGTAGCCCCGCGCGGTTATCGTTGAGATCCGACCGGCTGACAAATTTCGGCCATCCCGGCGTACTATCAGCCGGCTCGATTCCCCACCATCGATAATCTCTCTTCCTCCCCTCCCCTCCCCCTCCCCCTCTCCCTCTCCCTCTGGCCGCTCTATCTCTCTCGCTCTGTCCGCTCGTGAAATTCAACGGCGTCGACGCGAATTTATCGTCCATCGACAATCTCGCGGCCTCGTTAAGGCGCGTTTATGGCGCGCGCCGTCGCTACACGCGCCGATGTCACGAGTGGATTCGCTGCTAATATGCGAATGGCGATCGCGCGGGCGATGAAAAATTCGCGCGACAGTGCACACCGTTATTAAGCGATACGCTCCGCTGACAACTTTTATTCCTCCTTTAGCGAGGAACATTAATCTGACTGTCTGCCATCGCGCACGCGGTTGTGCATGTTACGTCATCTTGACGTTACGGCCCTCCGCAAGGAGGAAGGAGGGGAGGGAGGGTCTGCGCGCGATTCTTCCAATTGCAAATTTTCCCAAGGCGCGGCTAAACGCCGACCGATTTGGAATCTTCGATTGTGAGCGCTTTTCGCGAGCGCTCGCGAGAAAAAACTGATGATAAGGACTGATAAGGAACGACGTTATGCGTGCATGCCGGGTGAAATGACCGCGCCGTCTCGGGCACGGCGATTCGCGTGCTAATGAACCGGTCCGCTTGCGCTAAGTAAAATCTCGCGTGCCGGACGAGGGGGGGGGAGGGGGGACTGCCCTCGGCGGAGTGGTGTGTGTCGCGTGATACAGGTTCTTTCAAAACGACGCAAATCACTGCGGGGCTATTACCGCGTTCGCCGCGGAAATTCGACGATGTTATCGCGAGTCGTTTCATTAAGAATTTCTTCTCTCTGGTCGCTTCCCTTTTCTTTTTCTTTTCTTTTTTTCGTTTTAACCACCGGTCCGCGACCCTCCCACGCAATTCGGCAATACCGCCCGCGCCGTAATTGCTCAATCCGATGAGAGGCAGTTTTTGTGCTCGACAGAAAAGCGCGTCGTTGTACGCGCCGAACGATAAAGATAGGAATTTTCAGTTCGGACTCGTTCAGTCTCGTCGAAACACACGAGTCCCTTGGGAAGCTAATTGATATATTTGAATAATATATTTGGAACGATCTCTGCGCGCGATGATCTTCGTCGCGATATCAAATGGTGCGGCGATTACGAAATCGCGCGCGCGCGCGCGCGGTACTCATCGCTCGTCGTCATCGCATCCCCTTTTCACCGCAGGACAGATTACCGTCATTCCGCTTGACGTCGCTACCGTAAAAAGCCTTACACTCGCATGACGTCGCGCGTAATCGGCCATTCTTACCGTAAATAGGGCCCGCTCATCGGCCCTACGCGCATAATTCTTTTTAACGCCGCTCGCGTTTTCGCTGGCAGTTTTTCCCTTTCGCGTACATTTACTTCCCGTGGCTGTACGTATATATATATATATACACACACACACGTGGGTGCGTGCACGATGTATATTCGTGCGTGCGTGTGTGCGCGCGTGGGCTGTGTGCTTTAATTGCCACACCCGTTTCGACCCCATATTTCACCGTGTGTCAGCGGGCTTGATGTTTCCCCGCGGTAAACACGCACAGCCCCGAGGTCCACTAGCGCGCATTCGTCAGGGTCGGATTAAAAGGGCGTGCCGTATTTTTGCGTGAAATTATTTTGCCTTAACACCTCGCCGCGATAGCGCCCCGCGAGTGTCTTTTTGTTTTCGTAAACAAAAGGTGAGAGCGCGTTTGACGCGCGTATTTTTCCCCGCGTGTTAAAGACGACAAAAGCCGCCGGCGACCGGCGACCGGCGGCTACGACGCGCGCGCTGCGTATTTCGCGAGCGCGCGATCAATATAAATTGCAAACGACAGTCGTCCTCCGAAAGCGGTTCCCAGCCCGGCTCCGCGTCCCTGTAATGCGTGCGCGCGGCTCTTTGTAGCCGCCGTGCGCGCACAATACGCACGCAGAGAGAGAGAGAGAGAGAGAGAGAGAGAGAGAGAGAGAGAGAGAGAGAGAGAGAGAGAGAGAGAGCTCAACGTATGCGCTCGCGTGCACTTGCGATGCAACTCGCGCCGCGAGGGGGTGGTCCGCCGATAAACGTGCCGCCGTTAACGAGTTTTAAATCTTCTCCCTCTGCCCGCACCGACCCTCTGCCCGCGACGGAGGAGACCGTTTCTCTCTTTCTCTCTCTCTCTCTCTTCTCGAATTCTTTCACCACCGTGACTTCTCTGTCTCGAGTTTCGAACGGACTTTGCCTTATTTTTTTTATTTTTCTCTTTCTTTCATATTTTTTTTGTGCAAAAGCTCGTTTGTCCGCGGCTTTGCGACGAGAATGAAAAAAAGAAAATATTAAACGAGGATTGAACAAAAGTCGCTCGTTAAATTCTCTCTGAGAGCAAGAGGAGAGGGAGAGAGAGAGGGAGAGAGAGAGAGAGAGAGAGATTCGTTTTTTCCTTCTCTTCTTTCGAAATATCGCGGGAGAAAGTTTGCGCGTGGATGACGTGCCGCCACACGACAGAAATATCTCGATCGCACAGTTCCGAAAAGTTCGGTTATTGGCTCAGTTAGTTAGCGTTAGTCAACGTTGTCAGGACGGAAAGTTGGGGCATAAGCGAAATTTACTATTCAAATTCGGCCGAGTCGCTGCATTAGGCTGAATGTCTGCCTGACTATGCAACATGGCGTGACAAGTACGAGAATAGAACCGCATCGGGTTTTACGAGATCGCGTGATCACCGCCAGCAAACATCGTCTCTACCGTGAATTTTCGTCGGGATACATGCGCCCGCCCGCTCGCCTTTATCTTACCCGCGATTTCCAACTCTGATTCCTGCCGCGCGTCCGATTATCTTGTATTGTATCTTGAGAGAAAGCACGGTGTGGAATGCATCTCTTCCGACGTTGGCGTTGGCGAGGGGGCGAGCGTTTTACGCGCGCATAAATATTTAGTTTTACAACGACCGCCGTATCCGCGCTCGACTAGCGGTACCACCTAACGTAAATCGTATTGAGTATGATTGCAGAATGCAAATAACTTGCGTTCCTCGAAATATCGTCGTAATTTGGACGAAAGAACGATACCGACAGCGCGCGCGCGCGCGGCATCTCCATCGCCGAGTATAAAATTAACATTTTTAATATAATTCGCCAGCGCAAAAGCGACTCGCAAACTTGTTACGGCGCCTTACTTGTTGTTTTTCTTTTTTCCTAATCTAATTAAACCTTATACGCGTTGCTTCATCCTTAATCTTTTGTCGCAACAGCGAGAGGGAAAAATCGGAAGAGAGACGGAAGAGAGATAGCAGCATTGATTTTGGCTATTTTATAACAGGTTATCTCGGTTCTCTCTAAAGCCACCGCGCAACGTCATCTTGTTTTAGAGTCGAAGGATAGAGACGTTATACACGGGGTGTTGTACAGTACGCGAACGATAAAAATGCGTTCTGAGACAATAGTTGCGGGAACATAAAGATCAACATAGCCAATTTGTTTGCTTTGTTCGCGATAATATCGCGTTGCGACTAGTGTCGCCGTCAGCCAGTCAGCTGTGACTCGAAGCTTTACAGAAATTAAAAGAAATCAGTCCGTGGAAAAACGCGACTCACTATGGCTTTTCCATCCAATTCAACGGCGCTCCGTTCGCTCCTCGCACTTGCTTCCCCATCTCTCCTCATCCTGCCTCCCACATCTTTCCATTCCGCTTTCCCTCTTACTCTGACACGTGCAACAGCCGACGCGAACGGGGTTGATCCACCCCACGGGTCTCGTGCGAAGAAAGGAACGAAGAGGAAGAGAACGAGACGAGAAGCCGCGCACGGTGGATCGAGAGACGGAGAGAGCGAGGAGGGGGGGAGAGAGGGGCAGGAGGGGTCGTCGGAGGAGCGGAATCCATTTCGAAATTGCAAACCACCCTGTTCGATCCCCTTTCTTCGTCGCTTCCTCCTTTCGTATCCCGACACCCTCCCTTTTCCCGACTCCTTCCCTCAGGAAAAGCCACTCCCCTTGCCCGTCTTCTTTCCTCTTCTCTCTCTCTCTCTCTCTCTCTCTCTCTCTCTCTCTCTCCTCCTTCTCTCTCTCTCCCTCCCTCTCTCCTCCTTCTCTCTCTCTCTCTCTCTCTCTTTACCTCACTCTATCAGGCTCTTTTCCCTTTCGGGAGGCAGCGTGCTCACCTCGAATACTGATATCGGGCAAAGTCCTTTTTCCCTTAAACCGAGCAGCCACCAGGAATAATGCATTATACGTACGCGTTCTTCGTCTCTCGTTTCTTCTCCCCTCGTCGTCGTCGCTCGAACCTTTTCCTCCTCTTCGACCTCTCGCCTCCGTACTCTCGATACCGGTTCGTAGCTCTCAGCGCTTACCTCACACCCGTCTCGCATCGTCCTTTCGTCACGCCGGCGAACTCGCAATACACTCAAATTTGTGCTCCCCTGTATTTTTAATTCATCGTGTATTCAGTGATGGGCACTTGAACTTTGCCGCGCATCTCACGTCCCTGTCTCTCGGTGCGTTTCAGGCATGTAATGAGTTTACCACACACGTGATGAACTTGTTGAGGGAACAGAGTCGCACAAGGCCGATCACGCCAAAGGAGATCGAGAGGATGGTGCAGATCATACATAAGAAGTTCTCCAGTATTCAAATGCAGCTCAAACAGTCCACCTGCGAAGCCGTGATGATTCTGAGGAGTCGATTCCTGGACGCCAGGTTTGTGTCTAGAGGTTATGTCGCGGGATTGTCCTGAACGCCGCCGTTCAGATTTTGCTGACCACGCGACAAGCGCGTGTTCATTCTCGCGTTATTCTCGCGCGATCGAAAGTCGTTCAGAAGCAGTGTCGTGTAGTTGCGATTAATGTCGGGTGCGAAATCACTCCTGTTGCAGACGCAAGAGAAGGAATTTCAGCAAACAGGCGTCCGAAATCCTCAACGAATACTTCTACTCACACCTCAGTAACCCGTATCCGAGCGAAGAGGCCAAGGAGGAACTTGCACGAAAATGTGGCATCACCGTAAGCCAGGTATCGTATATATTAGAAGACGCAAGACTTTTGCGTATACCTTATTGCGTTATATTCAGCTGGTTAGCGCAACTCTGAATTTTTCCAAGTAACGCTCTTCAAACTCTGCTTCGTTGTGAGCTTACATAGGATTGAACATTTTTAACGGCCCTCAGGCCCCCCCCCCTCCCCGTTTGTAACTTGATTTTAACAAGTGGTCAAGCATTCTCGATGCTTTCTTTTACCGTACAATTCAGTCGCGCGATGAGCTTGAAATAAACGCGTGCGTTCGCTTCTTTCGCGTGTGCTCTCACAGGTATCCAATTGGTTCGGGAACAAGAGGATACGTTATAAGAAGAACATTGGCAAAGCGCAGGAGGAAGCGAATCTGTATGCCGCCAAAAAAGCAGCTGGTAAGTTGCAACCTTCGCTAACGAGAGACAAGTATTCCTTCGCGAGTTCGTTCCGTTTAAATCGTTAGGGACAATTCTGGAAGAGTGCGGGAGAAAGTAATGCGAAATCGCGCGCCCTATACGGAGTATTCACGCGTGCGAATATCTCCGTAATCGAGCGAGTAAGATGCACCTCGTTATCCACAATGGAATAATCGAAAACGATGGAAACGCGAATGGCGCGCTTTGTAAAATTTCTTCCGGAGCGCTTTTGTATCGCCACCGTCTTTTCTATTTCTCGATGGTCTCGAGCTTATCGCTTCTCTGGTCGCGTCGTCATCGTCGAGCTTCGTCGAGGTAAAGCTCTCTCGCGGAGCGAAGTGAAGAAAAAAAAAAAAGAAGGTGGGAGACGCGAAAGTTTTGCGAGCTTCTCGCGATCGATAACGAACAAGTCTCTTTTCCTTTTCTCTCTCTCTCTCTTTCTCTCTCTCTCTCTCTCTCTCTCTCTCTCATTCTCTCACTCATTGTCCCTCTCTCCCTTCCTCTTTGTCTCACGCGCGTCCCGTTATCTTTTTATGCGTCAAACTCGGAATCAAGGCGGCGAGGGAATCTCATTACTGTAAATCATTAGGCGACTGAGTTACCGCTCATTGTTCGGTTCGGCGCGACGGTGACACCGCCGCCGTTATCATGGTCGTCGATAAATCGTCGCGAGAGAATAAATCTAACGATATACCGATTGCCTCCTTCGAGTGTGACTCAGGGTGCTCGAGGAAAATTACCTAACGAAAATAAACCTCCTCGGGAGCAGGAGTGGGGGATCGAATTGCGGAATCGAGTAGGAGAAAATAATCAGTCGGAGTTCTGCGGCAGACGAGATGGAGGATCGACGAGGAGGAGGCACGTTCTCCAGCGGCACACACTCGCATGCTCTCCTCGCGTGCTCCTCTCAAAAATTCAAAAGTTTTCGAAAGGCAGCGGCAAACGCATGCACACAGACAGCATGTAGATGAAAGAAAGAGAGAGAGAGAGACTATGCGAAATTTTCTCGTTACAGCCTCACCTGCCTCTCGGCGATCTGTTTTCCTCTCGTTCTCGTGAAAATTGCAAGGAAAACTCCCGGTCCTGTCTTGAAATTCTACGGATTCGTGGATATCCCACCCTGCTCGCAATTACGTGCGCTTCGCTTAACTACCGAGGCGTCTCACTTTATTTTGGGCGCCAGCGTGAGATATTTTTAACTCACCAATTATACGAGAGAGGAGGGGAGGAAACGAACGCACGAAGCGCACGAGCTAGAGAACTGCGAGAGAGAGAGAGAGAGAGGGGGGGGGGAGGGGAGAGCGGTGAAGAAGAGAAGAGGGAGGAGACTCGTCGGAGGGTACGATGGAGATTCCGAGCTTCTCGCATTTCTTTCAACACTCTCTGCATTTGTCTTTCCTCGACCACGTTCACGATGAAACGGCCCGCGGTTCTCTCGTAATTAAAGAAACGGAATTCTAACGACCTCGCCTCTCTCTACCCAGCCTCGCGGAACCACGTTCGTCTCGAATGGCGCGAAGGTTTTACAAGCAAAGTGGGGAATACCCGGCTTCGGAACGTCGCCGTCGCGCATTTGTACAAACCCGGAACAAATTACAAAAAGGATCTGATTTCCGCGGACGAGGATCAGACGATCTTATTTCTCTCGTCGAGTCGAAATCGCTCGAGTGCCTTTATATCCAGACGTAATAGCGTCCTTATTCAAACTCGAGCTCGATTCGCTCGAGCTCGAGCTCGAGTTTAAGTCGAGTTTCGTAACAGAATTCGACTTTTCATTTTCGTAAATGAAAGGGAAAAGGAAGAAGAAGAGGAGGGGACGGGGGAGGGGGGAGAGAGAGAGAGAGAGAGAGAGAGAGAGAGAGAGAGAGAGAGAGAGAGAGAGCGTGAGAGCGTGAGAGCTCGAGACACATGGAGAAACAGAGAGAAACAAACGTTCGCTGTGTTGTTGGCTGAAGAACTTAAAAATCGCACCTTCGAATTTTGTATGCACCGCGATTGTTTCTACAGCAGCTTTTGCAGGAGCGTCGCCGTACAGCATGGGCGGTGCTAGCCAGGGCACGCCGACGCCGATGATGTCGCCGGCGCCTCCCGGTGGACCGCAAGACATGGCCGGATACAGCATGGGAATAAACGGCAGCGACTACGGCTCGCAGCCGTACAACGACGGCTCCATGGGATACGACCCTATGCACCAGGTAAACAGCAAAGACTTGTAGCATCTCCTGCATATAGGATGTTTCTACACAAATGCATACACACAGATACATACATATGTGTGCATATATATATATATATATATATATATATATATATACACACATACACACACATAAATATGACGCGTGTGTGTATGTGTGTGTGTGTGTATGTGTGTGTGTGTGTGTGTATGTGTGTGTGTGTGTATGTATGTATGTATATATAGATAAATAGACAAAAATAGCTTCTCATTAGCCGATTCCCGTAGTAGCAGTATGAAACTCGCTTTTTGGAATCTGCATTTGCGCACACCACCACGCATGAGCTTATTCTCCGATCTTGCTGCTGCTGTACGCTGTGGTTTAGAAATCGCGCGGTAGGCGCGCGTATTTAATATGCAAATGTAATTCCGTCCGAGAGAGAAGGCGAGCACAACTATTAAATAATAACGAATTTCCGCGCGCGACCACCTCTTCCCTCGCGCCGATCTTTGAATATTCCAATTGACTTTTATCGCCAAGTTTCATCGGGATAGAGGAGATTTGTCTGGATGAATTATTCGCGGATTTAATCGTCGGACGTCGACGTGATGAAGCGTTTCATTTGTTTTCTTCTTTAATGAACACAGAGGATTAAACTTAACGGTAATCAGAGTCTGACATTGCCAACGTAAATTTCCCGGTATCGTCGATCGCGCAAAAAGAGCCCGAGGCAACTCTTTTTCAGACATCGGAGGACGTCGCCTTTTGCGTATTTCCAGACCACACATATCGCTTATTAAACGCACGTGCATTTCACCTCCCGCATACTTACACTGACGAGATAAAGGGAAAAAGAGACACTAGGAGAAAACGAGACAAAAAGACTAAGTGAACGCAAGAGCGCAAGTAGAGCGAAAAATATGACGAATTGGAAAAGATACCGGTGGAGAAATCTGTTCGGACGTCAGAATGATACGGTGGTAACATATACAGGGTATCTCGTGCGAGAGACGACTAGAAAAAGAAATCACATCTCGATAAAAGTTTTGCTCTCGAGCATAACACGCGCACGGGCTGAATCCGGCATTCTCTAAGCATTGTCAACTAAATTCTCCGACTTTGATCTCTTTGTAGAGATACATAGAGAAACGGGTGGTTTCGTACATACGAAATCCCCCTCCCCCCCCCCCACCTTCACTTTGTATATGTGCGGGCGAGTGCGTTCGAATGTGGGTGCGTGGTGCGTGTGCTGTCGCTGCTGGAAGATATATATATATATATATGTATGTATGTATGTATGTATGTATGTATGTAGCAAGCTGGATACGCTGTTTCTGGTTCGTAAAGATGGCCTCGAGGGCGCCGAGAGCCGCGGGTGTGCAGGGTGTGCAGGGTCGAAAAGGGGTGCTAGAGAGGAAATTCCACACAGGCCACACACATACACACTCGTACACACAGACGACCTGTGCGTGAACACTGGCACACGTTACACGTTTCACTAACACTCTCAGCTAGCCGCCGATAACGCCAGGTTTGCTTAGTATGCATTGGAGTTGCTAAGTCACTTTTTAGGTAGGGCTGGCTCTCTCTCTCTCTCTCTCTCTCTCTCTCTCTCTCTGTCTGTCTCTCTTTCTCCCTCCCCCTCTCTCTTTCACATATTAATGGAGCTAGTGGATGCGCGACGACGCCACTACTAACGAGTCGCTGGCATTCCCGCGGTGCAGCGTAACGAAGCGAATTTAGACGGAGGAAGGGAAATTCGCGGGGTATTGTCCGCGCGACGACGATCCTCTACCGTGGTGTGTTGTATCAATCGTCGATAAGCTCCAATCAATTCTCCGCTGCTCCCCGAGGGTCGTTCATTCGCCCTCCTCATCTTCAGCTTCCTCCGCTTTCTCGTTAGATTCTTCTCGCTGACTTTTTGCGACAATTTATAGTCTGGGTTCTCTCTTCTTTCCTCTCGATCGTTCGATCGATTCATTCTCGCGTGAGATTTCCTCGCTGAGAAATCATATGCGTCATCGTGATCGACGACAAATTAAGATGCGCGTATTAATTACCGCGTTAACGTCGCGCCGAGATCCTACAGGCGCATCCTTTCGCGTCCTCCGCGCGCGCGCGGCGAACTTTGTTCGTCTCGAGCGTAGCGGTAAATCTCACTGGCGTACAATTTCAACGATGTCACAGCAAGCAGGGAGTGACGTTAAATTAAATTCGCGGATAAACACACACGGTGCGCGCGGGGGCGCATTCAGCGAGGCTGGGGATTCTTGCAGGAATTTTTTGCCGATGGATCCAATATTCGACATGTCGATACGTTGGTCACCTGTCGCGATGTTTCGCCGCGACTGCGATTCTGTCGCCGTGGAAGAAAAAAGGAAAAAAGAATCGTCATGCTCGTCCTGGAGCCGTTTGCTCCTCTTTCTCATTTTTCTTCTTTCGACTTCTTCTTGACTTTAATTCATACACTTTCGACGTACAATGCGAGAGAGAGAGAGAGAGAGAGAGAGAGAGAGAGAGAGAGAGAGAGAGAGAGAGAGAGAGAGAGAGAGAGAGAGAGAGAGAGAGAGAGAGAGAGAGAGAGAGAGAGAGAGAGAGTAAAGTGACTGCAATTTTCAAGCGTGTGTGTGTGTGTGTGCGCACGTCAAGGATATGTGTGTATCCGGCCACAAATCCTCCCTCATTTGTTCCGACGCGGGCGAATCTTTCATCTCGATAAGATACAGATGAAATCCGAACGGAATCGAGAACGAACGTCGCGTCGCGTCGGGAAGAAAAGCTCGAGACGAAATTAATTTCGTGGTCCGTCTGACTCGTCCTATTCCGAGATCTCACCCGGAGCGGCTGGAATGCGCCGCTCTCTCTCTCTCTCTCTCTCTCTCTCTCTCTCTCTCCGCGGAAAGGTGGAAATGAAGCGACTAAAATGCATGCTCGTAGCCGCGCTGTTCCGCAGTCACTTCCGGCTTTTGTATGGGTCTTCTACTTCTCTATCGATCTGAAACGCGGCGCCCGCCTTCTTCCATCCGTATTTTCTTGCTGGCGTTAAGTTCCATCGGTTTTTATCGTTCGATCAGTGCGCGCTCTCCTCTTCTGCGATACGATTCGTGCGGCGGCACAATACGCTACGTAGCGCGAATTTACGGCTCGACGATCTCTCGCCGTTTTAAATAGTGTCGCCGGATAAACTCATCCTTTTTCGCGATACACACAAACAAGCAGTCGTCTCGATCCAGCCGATCGAAAGTTGCTGCGCGATGTTTACACACAGCTGGATTCTGCGCTATGGCCGTCGTTTGTGAACGATGATGATTTGATCCCTTCTCTTCCGACTTTATTCTCGAAGAGATTCTCTCTGCATTCGCAGTTTCGCTTCGGAAAGCGTCGCTCGATCGACGCCAATTTTTCCAATTTCGACGTGCGTACGTGTGTGTGTGTGTGTGTGTGTGTATATATGTATGTATGTATGTATGTATGTGTACCCGACTCTGTTCGGCAGAGTTTGAGTTCGGCAACAACAAGTTCCCTTTGACGCTGCAGTTGGCACTAATGTTTCCCGTAATCGCATACGTAACAAATGTGAGCAATCGCTTTTGTACACTCTTTACATTTTTAAGCACAAAGAGCCTACCTCACACGCCGGCCCGACTGACTCTTAACATCTGTGCACCGGTCAAGTATAATCCACTTGTATTCTCCGTCATTACTTATATCTTATCACCGCCTCGTCTTTGTCTTCGCCTCCCCGCTCCGTCTCCCCCTCTTCTTTTGTTCTCGTTCTAATCAGCTACTGGTTGGTATTTCGAATCTAACAAGTAATAGTAGCGATAAGGAACATGAGGAAACTGAGTTTGCGACAACAATAATTGTCTGTT